TCAAATTAATGCATGTATGAATGTGAAGAATCATCCTTTTGCATTTAATCTAACTATAAGCATTGCAAAATGAAAGAGAAAATTGATAAAAGCTCAGATTTATTCTAGACTACCTCACTTGACACACAAAAAAATGAATAAAAGTAAAATACCAGTAGTTTTCCTTTTGGCTTAAAATGGCATTTTCCAGGATATTATTACATTATCTTTGCATTAATAAACCTAAGTAGTACTTAAACATTTTAAGCTAATATATACTAGGACCAGGAAGAGCAATAAAATTATGCTTAGCTGTAATGCATATCCATGGAAAATATTACATGAATGTATTTAATATACATTATAACTATAGCCAGAGGACTTCACCCAAAGTCAGAAAGTAATATCAGTAATCAAATGATAAACCTATTCCAAAGTTTACTTTGCTTAGAGGGAACAGGCTTAGTCTCTGGAGAATATTTTTATATTAAAGAAAGCATCTCAAAACTCGAAATTTGACCATGATATTTGTTGACGTTCTAAATTGGTGATGGGAAGAGGTGAACATCTTTTGAGCCTGCTAACTTCTTCCTGCCTTTCAGATAAGCAAATGGCATATTCCTATCATTCAGTATTTATTAATTGATAGAATTATCCAGCCTAATACCTGTAATTTATAGAGGAATTAAATGAATGTTCATGAGCAGAATTTTATAAAATTAATTTCAAACTCAAGCAGAGAAGTTGAGACCTAGGCACATATTCTCTGAAAAAAAAAATAGATCTCTAGACAACTGATGACTTAATATTTTAAATTAGTAATTAGATACTGTCTTAATCCATACCATGAAAAGCATCAAGAAAACAAACTCTATCTCCTAATTGTTTTATTCCAACATACTTTGGAAATCTTGTAACAACAAAGTTTATATTGTCGACAAAATTTCCCAATATTTTTAAGTGATTGGTTTCTTTGTTGTTTGTTTTGTTAAATAAATAAATTCAAAACTAGCCTCAGCAGTAACAATCTGATGAGCTAAAACATGCCCTATCTCCTGGCATAGTAAATACAGATCATATGTGAAATAATTTCTGTTTTCATATTTTAATGGGGAGGTAAAACTAATTTGCATGGCAGGAATGAAGACTATTATATAATAAATTAACAGCATGGAATTAATTGTATTGTTTGGCATTCTCATTTTTTTCAGGGATTGAAAGTATGTATTAACATACCTCACTAAATGATTTCCTGTATCCAATGTCTCACTCATATGAGGTGTGTAACATTGAGACTGTGCTGGTTAGTGTTTGTGAACTTAAAATAAACCAGAGTCACCCAGGAAGAGGGAATCTGACTTGAGGAATTTCCTTCAAAGGTTTGGTCTGCTGCCTTGTCTATGAGGCATTTTCTTAATGGCTAATTAATATAGGAGGACCCAGCCATTGTGAGTGACATTATCCCTGGGCACATGTGCCTGGGCTGTATAAGAAAGGTACCTGAGTGGGTATTCTCATTTTTAATCAGTAGTATTCTCTAGGAGGCTGGAGATTATTAGAGTTACATTGTCTGACAGCATGTCATGAACTCTATCCCCTTGACCTTCAAAGATGCCCAACTAAGAGAATCTTACACTCAAAGGAAGGGAGCCCAAGTGAAAATTTCCATTCAATTTTGAATCCAGGAGATATTAAACGCTTCCCATCCCCAAATTCTGTGTTGTTTTAGGCTATTTTGCAGCTGTTTTATCAGCTGAACTTTCAGCTGAAAGATTGTTTGTAAAGACCTACAAGAGCGGAGTGAAGAAATAGGAGGCAGTAGCAGCTCTTGTGCTAGGATGCTGCCTGATGTACTGCCATCCTTCAGTGTGGTTTTATTTAGTTATTACAACTATCTCTCTGTAAATGACATTTAGGATTATTTAAGATTATGCTGTAATCCTTTTAATCTGGAGTGCTTTAAATTTCAGGCTAAATACAAAAGAACAAACTAGCACTTAGCAGGAATGTTTAAAACATGTGATTTGAGCATAAATCTTTTTATTCGGTCTCTCCCTGATGAAGACCTACTGTTGCTCTTAGGTTAGCTAAGAAAACTTGTACCACAGTTCATTACAAATCACTCAGTTGCTAAATGTTTTCTCAAGCTACATCAAACTTGTGATGGGCCTCAACGTTCTGCTCTCTGCTGAATTAAACAAAAGTTAGAGCAATGAACAGTCACTAATTTAGCTTAAAATGTCTATGGTGTTTCACAAACGCAAAGCTTCTTTGTGTGTGTGTGTGTGTGTGTGTGTGTGTGTGTGTGTGTGTGTGTGTAAATGCTCACTGTATTTCTTAAGATCAAGCAGGTATATTATATAAACATACATATATGCACATAGGTCTTGACACATGTGATTACATACCTATATCTACTACATTATAGAAGTAAACAGTGCTTTTAAAAACATTCCTTATTGTTAAATAGTACCAATTAGAACAAAGTAGAGCAAAGATTTCTATTTCAAGGCAGTTCATGTTCTTGAACTCAGGACATAAATATCATTTTGATTTACCGGGAGTTATTACATACTAAAATAATAATAACTTTGTCCCTACAATGTTACCATACACCAATAAAAGAAAATTGAACCCAAAGCAAGTTTGATAGAAATCTGACTATGAAGAAAGCTTGCATTTTAATAAATACAGAATATAAACAATTCAGATGTCCAAAAAACATACACAAATAAAGTGAGTGAAAGGTTTTCCATTTTTCTGTGCCTAAGAAATGCGTGGTTCAAGCATGTGAGAGGCACTCACAATTATTTGTTCTATTTATTTCAAGCTTGACTTCTATGTGGACAGTGTAATTATGTGGTATATAATTGCTAATCCATCAACCTTTTAAAGACAGATTTAAAATTTTAAATTATTTCCAATTTTGCTCTTCTTTGATTTTTCTGGAACTAAAAAAAATCTCAATAGTCATTTGCTATCTGTAATCTATAATTCATGGACTGAGATTGAACACCAAGTCTAATTCAAACTTGGAATTCTAAAGCTATTTTTGATGTGGTATATAAGCTGAAGCTATAAGGGTCTTTTTCATTCAGGAAGAAGTGCTTCACTATTCTGTAGGTAATGAAACCCTTACACACACACTCAAACATTCATCCCTGCCTTAATGCCATGTTTTTGAGATATAATCATGTTTATTCTGATCATTTGAGAGTTAGACCAGCTAATGTATCTAATCAAATATTGATGTAAGTAGTCTAGATTTAGCTGTCTGGCAAATCCTCAGTGCTTTTTTGTTAACAGAACTATAAAAGCTATTTATATTGTTCTCAAAAGGCTTACTTTCCTAGTCCACATTCTAGGGGTGAATATTAGTAAATTTTATGTGAGCTCATCATAAAAAGTCAAGGATTTATCCAAAGCAAATGAGCAGAAAATATCAGAAAATTTTAAAACTTTGTTATTCATCCTTATAATCACATCTTATTTCTATGAATGAAAGAATCCAGGACTCTATCTGTCTATCTATCTATCTATCTATCTATCTATCTATCTATCTATCATCTATCTATCATCATCTTCATCATCTGTCTGTCTATCATCTATCTATCTATCTATCTATCATCTATCACCTATCTATCATCTATGATGGATCAATAGATCAATCGATGGATTGCTCTACCTACCTACCTACTCACCTACCTATCTGTCAGTCATCTATCTGTCTGTGCATTGAGGACCCAAGACCCCATGACTTATTCAATTGTACTATAAGTGAAAATATATGAAAAATATTTTCAGTTCACAAATATACTATAATTGAAAATAGAAATCAATGTCATTCAAAGAACTACATTCTGAAATAGTAAAAAAACAAACAAGTGGATGTTATAAAAGGATGAGAGAGATAGTCAAAAAATACAGATGATGTACAGCATCATCATAGGCCCTTTACTATGTATCCATGTTCATTATGGTCACCAGCCTCGTTTATGATCTAACTGAAACCTTTACAGAGATACATTTAAAAAGATGAGAAAAATATTTGAAAGGTTCAATTGTCCAAACATCATGTTCTCCTTTTTAATATGAACAGGCCCAAATTATTTTAATACAGCTGAATAAGGTTATGGGAAAAGAGCCTAGAAGGCAGTTAATATTAAGAACTATGTAATAATCTACTCCATTGGCTATTAAATGAAATAAATTCTAAAATATAACATAAAATTATTGGTTTATTTGAAAACGTAAAATTTTAATTTCAACTGAAATGGAAAAATATCAATTCTTAATCATCTAATATTACTAAAGAAAAATCATGTCAAACCCTGATATGCTGAAATATCAAGTTTTCCTATTTCTAGTCTTTCAAGGATTTCTTCTGGTTCTTTCTACTCAATAGAATATGATTGTAATTATTAATCATAGCAATTCCCCCCAATGAAAGTATTCAATATAAAAGGATCCAATCTCAAATTGTTATTAATTTGTTCTTTGACAATTTCATACATGTATATAATGTATTCTGATTACTCTCATGCCCCACCCTCTTTATGCCCCTCCCACACCCATGAAGCTGTTCTGCTCTCTTACCCTCCTTGCTTACATTGGTAAATGTAGTTAATGGCTGAAGTCAGGGCTAGCAATGAATAAAAATTGCTTACAATTACTGGATTTTACTTTGTGTATGTTTAAAGGTATTACATTAAATTTATTAGGTTGGCACCCCAAACACCTACCAAATGCATTGCAAAACTCAATGGCTATTTAATAAAACTAATCAGCATGCAACATGTATTTTGTGTTTGGCTAGCAACCAGTCAGTCACTGTGGAAAAACACAAAATAAACCAAAGATTCAATAGGAAAGAGGATTCAGAGTCAGTCTTTCAAAATGACCTCCAGAAAAGTAGTTCATGCACATGAAAACATCACACGAAGGTGGTCTTATTTTGATTACCCAAGAGAGCTCAAGTTTGGAGGGAACAGTAATAAATTGAGTATATATAACATTCTTACCTGAAAGACATTCTTTCTGCTTGATTTTTCCTTGGCCCATTCAATATGTGCTCCACACAAATCTACACTTTCTGATTTGTGCCCAGCTTTCTGTAAACAAAAAGAAATAAGAATAAAAAGCATACATCATTGGAGATGCATGTCAGAGAAAATAAGTTTATTGAGTTATAGGTTATACATATGTATGACATAAAGCCTCTCTTGTTCATCCCAGGGGAAACCTATTTTGTAGAATGTTTCTATTTTTTTTTTCATTTTAACGCAATGAAAGTAGAAGCCTAGTTTTAAGCACATATTTTGTTAATTAAAGATAATAAGAAAATTTAATATTTAGAATATCAACATTTTGATATAACAATAAGGAGATAGAAATTTATAATCTCTTTTTCTTAATGTGTAGCACTGAGTCAACAGTTGAAGAACATGAACTCATTGTAAGTCAAATGCTCATGAGACCAAAAAGTTTAAAAAATGGGCAAATCATAATGTAATGGACAAATTGTTAGCGTTTAGTTTTGTGATTTTAAGAAAGAGAAAATGGCTACATGATCTTGAATATTCAACAAATGGATTAATTGAATCTCAAAAATTTTGCCTGTTTGTATTTCATTTGTTAAATTCAAAATGTATTCATTGTTAACTATGTTCCTTTTGAAAATTCACATTTTAGATGTTTAGGATTGCACATGCAAATATATATATATATATAATTTT